TCTAAAATTTATTGCTGCATTTAAAAAATTTGCTACATGCTGAATATCTAAAAATTCACAGATAGCATAAAGCATCATCAAGTATAAGATACAGTAAACATATTTTCATAATGAATAAAAATAATTAAATGCAGATTTTAAAATACAAGAAAGTAGGTTTTTAAAAATTTTTTTTTTAGAAGTGACTATAATAATGAGACTTTTAAAAATAAATGCCCTGGAAAATCTAATCATCCTGCTATCTTCTCCTGTGATCACCTATAATCCTTTTCCATATATACATATAATTTTTATGTTGTTTTAAATGGCTGTAATCCAACAACTTACTCTGTATCCATTTGTTGGATAAGCAGATTTCACTCATGTTTCCAAATTTATAAGTAACTTTAATCATTTTTATCACTTTTTTCCTTTTTAGAATACGATTCAGATGACAGGAGGAGTAAACTAAGGAAGCAAAGCATGTTGATATTATTTTTCTTTATTGCCTTCCAAATTGCCTTCCAAAAACAATATATAATTTTTTTTTCATTTGGGATGTAGTCAACATTTTCATTTGATTTTTTTTTTAACTGTGGTAACACAGACATGAAAATCAACCATCTTAACCACTTTTTAAGTGCAAAGTTCAGTAGTGCTAAATATATTCATATTGTTGTGCAATCTCCAGAACACTTTTCGACTTGTAAAATTGAAACTTTATGTCTGTCAACTTGCCTTTTTCTCTGGCAACTAGCATTCTACTTTTTGTGTCTTTGAATTTGGGTACGCTATCTCATATAAGTGGAATCATATAGTATTTGTCTCTTTATGCCCATTATATTTACTTTAACCTGTTCTCAAGGTTCATTAATGCTGCAGTGTATCAGAATTTCTTTCCTTTTCAATACTGAATAATATTTTAATTTATGTATATACTACATTCTGTCTGTCCATTCACTGATGGACACGTTAGTTGCTTCCATCTTTTGGCTATTATGAACAAAGCTGCTAAGAATATGGGTGCACAGATATGTTTGAATTTCTCCCTTCAGTTATTTGAGAGCTAGAGCAGATGGATCATATGGTATTTCAATGTCTAAGTTTTTGAGGAGCTGTTATAATATTTTCCACAGTAGCTTCATTTTACATTCCCATTAATAGTACACAAGGGGTCCACCTCATTCACTGCCGGGTGGGAATGCAAATTGTTATAATTTAGTGGAAAACAGTGTGGAGGTTCCTCAAAAAATCGAAAATAGAACTACCATTCCTGTAGGATTACCATTCTAGTAATCCCACTTCTGGATATTACATGAAAATATGAATCTGAAAAGATATATGCACCCCTATGTTCACTGCACTGCTAGTCACAATATTCACTAGCCAAGATACGGAGATAACCCAAGTGCCTAACAACAAATGAACAGATTAAGAAGATGTGGTATATAAACAAAATGGAATACTACTCAGCCATTAACAAAATGATGAAATCTTTCCATTTGCCTCAATAACAATGAACCTTAAGGGGATTATACTGAATGAAAATAAGTCAAAAGGAGAAAGACAATTACTATTTAACTTTACTCATTTGAGGACTAAAAAGAAAAAAAAGAAAACAAAACCTTAGATTCTGACAACAGAATAGTGGTATCTGGAGGATCCCAAAAATATACATGAATATATCATGGCAACAACTGGTAAGACAAAGTTTTCCTTAACCCTTTCTACATCACACATATACTAATAGTTACAGATAGAGCTCAGGGAAGCTGGAATTCAAATTCATGTCTTTATCTAAAGCTCTCCTTCTTAACTTTTCCTTTCTAGAGTCTCACCTATACTTACTTATAATTTCATTTTTACTTTAGATTTCTAAATGTTGTATTTTGAGAGGAACAGCACAATGCAGGAAAACAACAACAACAAAAACTTGAAAAATGTCTTCCATGTAGGAGTTGATAGTTGAATTGGAAGAACTTTACCAAGCAATGTTATCATAGTATGCAAAGTTACAAAAAGCAGTAAATTCTAGAGTGACATACATTCCAAAACTCAGTGGTCTACCAAAAATTAAAATTTTATTCCTGGTTTGCTTCTTAAGCATAATTTTAATTACAGACAAGATCTTTCAAGTCCTATGCAAAATTCTCTAAGAGGCAGAAACAATAAAATAAGATTAAAAGATCCAAAGAATCAATAATTGCATCCATTCTCCATTTAAACAAACTAAAGGAAAAAAGAGTTCTGATCAAAGACACGTTGGAGAAATGATAGAACTTCAAAAATCATTTTCCTATCTCCTTTCAGTAAACTTTTCTAAAATTAGCTTGATTCTAAAGTTTAAATTGTTCTCTTTTAGCTAACATCACTCTGTACACTTCTTAATCTAGGGAAGAAAATAAATTATTCTATAATAAAGCACAAAAAATACTACATATAAGCATAACAATTTCAATGTACATAATCTTATAAGCTTTTTATAGGGGATAACAGCCCCCATCATATAGTGAACTTTTCTTACCATTGTTCTCAATACTTGCATCAAGATTGAATTCCTAAATACTGAAGATCTGGATATGATGGCTACCCAGAAACTTAATCCCATTTTATAACTTTAAAAAATATCTCAAGGGCCTCCCCAGTGGCGCAGCGGTTGAGCGCTGGGTTGCGAAGCTGCCCTCAGCCTCTGCAGCACCAGTTCGATCCCCGCCACCGGGTGAGGGTCCCACATGGCGCGCAGACCTCTCCTGCCGTGCCCGCTGCTCCCCTCAGCAGTGTGCTTCAGTCTGCCTGTTCTGTTCCCCGCTCTGGCTCTGGTGAAGTCTCTCGCCCTCCCACGCTTCTGACTGTACCCAGCAGACCTCTACTATCTCGTCCACTGCTCCCTTCAGCAGTGCATTGCAGAAGAGCCACCTGTTCTGCTCCCCACTTCGTCTCTGGTGAATCCTCTTACCCTCCCCCCCAACTCTGGCCTATACCCCAGTTCTTGATGCATAAATAATTTTTTAAAAACCGTTAATGAGATATACCATAAAATGCAGACTTATTCAGTAGGTCAGGGATTGAGATTCTTCAATTCTAACAAGCTTCCCGTGATGCCCACTGCCAGGTGCCAGGGATATGAACACCTGGCACAGCACAAAGACTGCTCTGCTGGGTCAACTATTCCTTCCCATCTGAGGATATCTTATCTCCTTTATTGATTTCACCTTTCTGGCCAGAAAAGATGTTTTTTTGTCTTTGTGTTCTCCAACGTTCTAAACAGAATGTCTTCCATATGCTAGGCATTAAATAGATGCCAACTGAATGAATTACATCCGGCTTTTAAGTCATTTCTTCTATGGTTATAGACAAAATTGTTTCTTCTTCTGAATTACTTTAAAAAGTATTTTTAAAAACTGAAAAATCAGGAAAGCTCTCAATCCATTTATTTAAAGTTTATATATATATATAATATATACAATATATATTACATGAGATATTATCCAGTGCATTCTCATACTGACTTAAACAAATCTTAATAAAAAAAAAGTGGTTTCTTAATTTATTTCCTATTTATTATCTACCTAGTTAGCTCCTAATTTATCTCCTTTTTTATAAATAAAAATTTTATTAAAGTAAGTATTTGGTTTTCTGGAGAAGTTTCAAAATCAATCTAAAAAAGTGATCATTTTGTTAGGATGGGTCATACTTCTTAAGTAGCACAGCAAAACTACAAGGGCATTTTAGGAGTTAACACCTCCAAAATAATCTGTAAAATATAACCTCTATAAATAATTCTGACTTTTCACACCATAAAAAAACCAAAATAGGATTCCTGTTCTCAATTGCTAACTCCTTAGCAGTTTCATGTGTTTCTCTGCTGATTTACATTGATCACTGTGTCAAGTGACTAATATCTCAAAGGCTGGCTTTTTCACTTGTAACCCCGATTACACTTGGTTCTACGTTGAGAAAAATAGTACGTTGACATGGTGTTGTAATCGTTCAGGAACAGAGGTAGGTGGAATGTTTTATTTCTAAGATCTTCACTTCTACAGTTTAGGATTTTTTTTATTTTTTGGGGGGGGGGGATGAGTTTGCCAATTACCAAACATCAAGACTGCCATTTACGAGAGAATGGTAATGAAAGACCTGAGATTTTAATAGCACCGCTATATTAAAAACAATGCGAAAATCTTGCAAATAACAGTGAACAGCAGGCGTCCGCTTCTCCCAACGCGAACCATCCATCCTTCGGATCCGGCGGGCGGTCCCGGGCGGGCGGCGCGCGGCTCGGCCGCCGGGGAGACCCCGCGACGCCCGGGGGCTCGGCGCGCTCCGCTCGACTTGGCGCTTCTGTCTTTAAGAGTCTTCCGTGTTTTTGTGGTTTTGTGTTTTACGACAAGAGGCAGCACCGGCCAAAGCCCTCGGCGGCGGGAGGCGCGGCAAGGGCGGCGGTGACCCCGGGGCCGTCCTCCCGCGTCCCCACTAAGTGGCAAAATGGTGGCCGCGAACGCCTCCCCGCTGGGCCGGGCGGGAGCGGATTCCGCCGGATTCTGACAGCCGAGGCCCGCTTTCGCCCCGGCCGCCCGCGCTGCTCGCCGCCTGGACGGCTGCGGGAGGGGCGCCTGCGGCGTCCAGCCCCCCGGGAGAGTTGGGAGGCGGCGGCCCGCGACCGTGACAAGGGCGCCATCGCTGCCCTGCCCGCCGGCGCCTCGGCCAGCGCCCGCGCAGAGGAGGGACTGGGTCTCCGAGGGAGGGGGCGGGGAGGGGCTCGGCGGGCGGCGCGGGGAGGGAAAGATGGACGGCGGGTGGGGGGGGCGCTGAGGCGGACGGGACGGGGCGGGGCGAGGCGGGAGGAACGGGGCGGGCCGAGCCCGCGGCCGGGGAAGGCTGAGGGACCGCGGCCCCCGAGCTGGCCGGCGCTCGGCCCCCTCCTCAGTCGGCCGCTCGCTGCGGTGGGGTCCCTGAGGGCCGGCGACCCACCCTAGCCGGCTCTCGCGGGGCAGCCCCCGGTCGCGGCGGGCGGCTCTTACCTGAGCCTTCCCTGTCTTTATCCTCCGCCATCTTGTTGCGGGCCCGTCGCCAGGGAAATGCCGCGGGGAGCCTGGGTCGCGGCGCTGCAGCCCTCTCGGCCGCGGGGGCGCGCTTGGCCCGGAGGCTGGCGGCGGGGAATCCCGAGGAGAGGAGACCCTGGGGCGGGGCAGAGCGGCAGGGGGGCTTCGAGTGCGCGCGCTTCCCCCCTTCCTGGGGAGACCCCCGCCGGGGAGACCCGGACCCGCCTCCGGCGCGCGGCCACCGCCTCAGCCTCTCCCTGCAGAGCCGCAGCCCGAGCCCGCATTTCTCCGGCCTAGAGGAATTATCTAATAATAAAGTTCCGAGCCCCTCCTTTCCTTTATTTCGCAGCCTTCCCCTCCGCTCCTCTTAGTACGACGTGGCGCTACTCGATTTTTTTTTTTTTTTTTTTAACTGCAGCTGGAGAGCGGGGTGAAGAGCTCGGCTCCCGGGGGGCGGATCGAACCCGCCCGCGACCCGCCTCCTCCCCGTTCCCAGTCGCAGCCCGCGGGGCGCTGCGAGCGGCCGGGCCCGACTCTGGCCCGTTTTCCTCCCGTCCCGCGCCTGCCGCCGGCTCCTGAGAGCGCGAAGGCGCAGCCCGCGAGGAGCAGCTACCACGCCGCTGGGCCGGCGGCGCGCGGCAGCCAGGCCGTGAGACTCCTGGAGGGGAGGAGCCGCTGTGCAAAAACTTGTGTAAAATAGATACAAACAATGCGTCGTCAAGGCTGCTGCTCCTGATACAAACTAGAACGTTCTCATAGCAACAAAAACATGTCCATATTGTGTTCAGTAGGACATACGTTAAAATACTAGTTCGGAGGTGTGACGTGACCTCCATTACAATCACTGTGGGACAGTTTAAATCCCGCTCTTTTGAAACTTTGCAAGTATAAGAATTTTTTGTCTTAATATAAGGATCGGTTCACTATTTTCTTTTTTAAAAAAGTTTAATGATGTGCCTAATGATGTGGTTCATTAGAATATATAAAACCAATCTGAAATGATTTTAAGCGCCTGTATATTAATGTAAATGACTTGATATGTAAAAACAGCTAAATTTTAAAGAGGTCGTCAAAATATAAGGTATTAGTACTTTTATCTTTTATGAACAGTTTTATGCTTCTAGTATTCTTGTTCTGTAAAATTTCAGTAAACCATAAAACAAACTTATTATTCTTTACTAAAATAAGTATTTTTTGACAGAAGATATCATTTGGTACTGTTGTTAGCATTCACTTTGAAGTTGAAGACAATTGATTTATCGCAAAATGACTCATTTTAGAAGATAGATACTTGCATAAAACTCAAAAATATTAAGTAGTAATCATAAGCATCCATTTATGTTTAAATTTCATAGTCCTTATGTTCTTATTACTTATTTTAGAGATTCACTCTTTCCGTATAGATAATGAAAGGCTTTGATAACAAATGTTGGGAAAGCCAACTTTGGTCTTAGGTTTGCTGTTCATTCCCTGTGTTTTTTCAAATGCTGTCTGCAGGTTCTTTTTTATAATGCCTTGCCCTCCTCTCCTCCTGCCCCCAAATCCACCCTCCACAGATAAACATTTGTCTGTCCCAGGTTGTCAAAAACCTTGAAGGTCAGTCAAGTGCTCTGAAGCTTTCCCTGCCAACGTCTTTGTTCTACACTGGAAGAGCCTCTCACATTTATGTGCGACCACTTTCTTTCTTTACTTGTTTCCTCCTACCAATATGGAAGAACAAATTTTATTTGTCCATATATCCCCAGAGTCCAGAACAATTTTTCAATTTTTGTGTCTGAAATAATATACATTTTAAAAATGAAGAAAGGAATTAATCTTTTCAATGACTTATTCAGAAGCAAAGCTTCTTATATGTTTAGATTATTCCCAACCACATTAATCTGTACTTCTCTGAATTTCTAAAGCATATTTAAGAAAAAATAGTTTCTCTAAGTCTGGATGAGTAAAACATTTAAGGTATGCCAATTAATCTTAATTTCAAAGAAACTAATCTTTTACCCTTTTGTATACCCATAGTACCTACCTAACTTAGAGGCTTTTACTAGGGAACTTAATACATACTTTTCAGTTGGCTGATTAGCTGATTATATACAGAAATATATAATTATTCCGGACAGCTTTTCATGAAGTAAAAAAAGCAATTATCTAAATGATAAAGACCCACAATGCCAATGAGTAATTATCTGTATTATGCTGATATTTGACTCAACTTTCTGCTTTCTTTGGTCCTAGAAACCTATCTGTGACTAAATTACACTTTTAACTCTTTTAAACATTATTAACTTGCATTAGACAATGGTTGACTAACTATGAACATTTCTTTTTCCTTAGAATGTATTTTGTTTCTGAACTATAACTTGAGTGACTGTGTAATATTATGTGCTGCAAAAACATTGTTTTACTTAAGAATCTCATAGTGATTTTTTTGAAATTCACAACTGGAAAATTATTTTTTATCCCACTCATTGACTTTTATACACACTCAGTGCAAAATCAGAAAAGCAAGGACGTAGTTTCAGACAATGACACTGATTTGATAAATTATTCAATGGGGGTGGATGGATATCCCGATTATGTCCTTTGCAAGTTTGAATGTGAATTAAATCTGTACACACAAGCCTCCAATCTGTGCCCACAACATAGAAAATCTTCTTTCTACAACTAACTCAGTTACCTAGGATGTGGGTGGAATAGAAAGGACAAGAGATTTGAAAAGTGATAGTAAAAAAATTCTTCACTCCATGTCTACTGTCTTCGTATGGGGATAACTGAAATCTCCTTGGACCAGGAATAACTTGAAAAGCCAGCAAACTGGATTTTCCTCAGATTTTGCCATTACTGATCTCATGATTCTAGGCATGTCATGTAATCTTTTTAAAATTCAGTTTAAAAAAATAAAAATAACAATGTCCAAACTCCCTACCTTAGAGGTTTTTAGAAATTATGTTTTATTGAGGTAATGTTGATTACAACACTGTACAAGGCATGTATTTCAGGGGCTTTACAAATGTAAAGCATTAATAATCCTCCGCCTTAGTGTTTCAGGTGCCACCCCCACTTTGCTTCCCCTTCTGGTAGCCTGAGTTCTTGCAGTTAGATTTTAAGGGTTTGGTTTGGGTTTGTCTGTTCCCTTGCTTTGTTTTTATATTCCACATATTAATGAAATCATTCAGTATCTGTCTTTCCCATTCTGACTTATTTTGCTTAGCATAATCCCCACCCGTTCCATCTATGTCCCATATGCAAGGTTTCATCCTTTTTTACAATTTACAATACATGTACTCCTCATTCTTTATCCAATCATGCCCTTGGGACACTTGTTTCCTAACTTTGCTATTGAAAACAGTGTTGCAATGAACACAGTAGTGCATAAATCCCTTTCTATCTGTGTTGTTGTATTCTTCAGGTAGAGACCTGGGAATGGGGTTGCTAGATCATATGGTAGATCTATATTTAATATTTTGAGAAACCTCCAAATGTTTTCCACTGGGTTTACACTAGTCTACATTCCCATCAACATTGTACAAGGGTTCATGTTTCTCAACACTCCTTCCATCACATGTTTTTCTTGTCTTTTTGACATAGGTCATTCTCCTAAAGATGAGGTAGTATTTCATTGTGGTTTTGATTTGGATTTCTGGATGTACTTGGGGAGATATTTTCCTGACAGTTTATTCTCCCAAGATTTCTGCATGTGTCCCTTCACCCATAATAGTTTTCATAAACTTAATACATGTAATTGAAATTTTTATAAAAAATTAACAAACTCAGGCCTCCCTGGTGGCACAAAAGGTTAAGTCTCAGCATTATGAAGCTATCAGCAGCCACTGCAGCACAAGTTTGATCCCTGGTCAGGGAGCTAAATCACATGGCGCAGAAGACCTCTCCTGTCTCTCCCACTGCTCCCCTCAGCAGTGTATTTCAGTCAATCTGCCTCTTCTGTCCCCCACTCAGTCTCTGGTGAGTCCTCTCATGTGCCCTCCCACCTCTGGCCTATACCCTCATTCTTGTATGTATAGATAAGTAAAATAAATCTTAAAAAAAAAAAATAACAAACTGGCTAGGAATCCACTCTCTTGGAGTAAAATAACACCCCACTTTCCAGTAGGAAGGAGCACTTAGGGATCAAACTCTAACTTCTGTCCTTAGATTCAGCTTCCCACTTGAGCAGTTTGATTTTCTAGTGCTTCAGCTATGCAATAGGAGGTGGTTGTCTCCAAGCCCTATACTCTTCACTACTAGAATCTGCTGTCTGCCTGAGGTGATCCACTTTACATGATAGAACTTGTTATCTTCACTTTGTGTTCCCTTCCTAGTTTCCACCTTGCCATCTTATTTTTTTACTTTTTTACCATTTTTGTGCTCTACTAATTATATTTTTAAGTTCTTTCCAAAATAACACCTGAGGAACTCCCAGGTTCATGTATGCCACTGGACTTGGTTCACCACCTTTTTGTACACATGCCTGGGTTTTCATTCACCATCACTAACCCCCAAGATATAAGCAGGACTCCCTCCATGACATAAGCCCTTTGCTCATTTTAGAGGAGGTAGCATAGGTGAAAGTGGGAGACATGTAGGAACTTTTACTTGGAACTGGGCTTTGATGAGAAGTGTCTGCATGAACATCAACATCTTCTCCCTGATTCTTCCCCTCCAATTTCTGAAGATTAAGCAGAAAATAATCTTCTTTGAAGATCTGGATAATTATTCGCAAAACCCAAACACATGCTTCCAAGGCATTGTGTTTTCACGTATTCTGGTCTCATTTAGTTCAGCTGCTGGAGTTGTTGACTGATACTTTCACTTCCATAACCAAGTGAACCCTTCTCCTTGAGGAAGCCCACTCTATTTTCGGTAGCCTGAGCACCATGGAGAGCTGGAAAGGGCACAAAAACCCTGAGATCATCTGGAAATGCTTCTCCAGGAAGACAATTTCATAATTGAGGCCTTCCAATCAAATGACACCAAATTTCCCCAGGTGCTCTTCAATCACTGTGTGGTCTATCAGAGGGATAGTCTCTTTCTTGACCTTGGCTTGTCTGCATTTCAGGATGAGTTCCTGGACAGACTTCAGATTTTTGAAT